AGACGAGCTTCTGCTTTTAGGAACTCGATCTATCCATGATACTGTTGGAGTATCAATAAAATTTATCGCTTCTCAAATGTCTTTTGTTATAGGTGATGCCAGATGTGAACCGAGTTCTAGCTCACATGGAAGATTTCTGCAATCTAATTATCAGCGGAGGATGGACCGGGTTATACAGGGCAGAAAATCACGGATGTGGTCAATATTGGAATTGGTGGCTCTGATCTGGTTAGTTCTTATCGGCTTATCATAATAGAGAGCTGTATCATTTGGCAAAGAAGAAATTGTTTCGTAACAGTTAAGCGAACAGCATGGGTATCTTATTGTTACTATTGGCATCTTTCCCGTCGCTTTCAATTCTGCAAGGCCACAAAAGGATGCTTCTGTGGTGTCTTTACGATTTTCATTGCACTGTGGAGAAACATGCTGTAGAGGGATTTTCGGTGCTGAGAATTGCGAGGAATTTAACGCCAGTTGTATAAAAAGATATGTCTTTGGAGATTGGGTCCAATTCTATCGCCTTAGTGTCCGCTATGTAGCAAAACTAAGCGCACCCTCACTCAACACTTAATAAATGAGTGATCTGTGGTAACTTCAATATTTAGGCTTGTTGATGAAACGTGTTCAGCAATGAACATTTCACTGACACGTTCAATTTTAGGGTCCTCTCATGGTGTGCGAGGCTCTTCGGCATTATCAAGTTGGACCTAATGTTCATTTTGTGAGCAATGTGGATGGAACTCATATTGCTGAGGTACAATTCCACGATTCCTATGTGGTTCGCGTCGCCTTTTCTTGAAAGGTAGCAAATTTCAGGTCATTAAAAAACTCAATCCGGAGACCACATTGTTTATTATTGCCTCGAAGACCTTCACTACCCAGGAGACCATAACTAATGCAGAAACAGCGAAGGAATGGTTCCTCAATAAGGTAACTAATCCACCTCTATAGCTACAAACATCTCGATGTACTTGTTTTAAGGCGGGAGACAAGAGTGCTGTTGCCAAGCACTTTGTAGCTCTTTCTACCAACGTCCCCAAGGCCAAGGAATTTGGAATTGACCCTGCGAACATGTTTGAATTTTGGGATGTGAGTTTGTGGTAATTTATGAGACTGTTTCTCGAATGTGCCATGGTGACTTTTTACAGTGGGTCGGAGGAAGATATTCTCTGTGGTCGGCCATTGGTCTTTCCATTGCCGTACATGTGGGATTTGAGAACTTTAGGAAGCTCTTAGAAGGTGCACACGCTGCGGACCAACACTTTCTGAATGAGCCCCTCGATCGCAATGTGAGTGTTTTTTGTCTTTTCATTTATGATTTCCCAATTCGGTGCTATGGCTCTCTTCAGGTCCCGGTCATCATGGCAATGTTAGGAGTTTTGTACATCAATGTGTACGGTGCAGAGACGCATGCATTGCTGCCATATGATCAATACCTTCATCGGTTCGCTGCCTATTTCCAACAGGGTGATATGGAAAGCAACGGGAAATTTGTGACAAGGTTCTACTGTTATTCATCGTTTCAGTTCACCTCCTAGCAAAATCAAAAACCTCTTTTTTTTAAGAGAAGGCGGCCGAGTGGACTACTCTACTGGACCGATTGTGTGGGGCGAGCCTGGCACTAATGGTCAACATGCGTTCTATCAACTCATTCATCAGGGAACTCGCCTGATTCCTTGCGACTTCATAGCTCCAGCGAAAACGCTTAACCCCATCCGTAATGGCTTACATCATCAGGTGAGAATATGTGCTGCAAATTTATTTTCTAAGGCTCTTGATGAATTAGGTCATTTCGAGCATTTAAACCTCAGCCGTTTGCACCATCATCGGCCGTAAAAGTGAATATTTAGATTCTTGGCAAATTTTTACGCAACGGAGCAGTTAGATGAAGGGTAAGACTCGCGAAAGAAGCAGAAGCGAGCTGAAGGCAGCAAAAACCCCAGCTGACAAAATAGACAAAATTCTTCCTCACAAGGTACGATCTCACTTGAAAATTTTCGCCGAGAATCGTTGCATTGTCGTTGTTTGAAAAATTCGTTATGGTCATTAAAAAAAATTAAAATATGACAAGTTTTTCGGATGAAAAACCAGTGTTCAGGTATTCGAAGGAAACCGTCCTACAACGTCAATAGTACTGCCCGTAGTTTCTCCATTCACTCTTGGTTTGTTAATTGCATGTATGAAACACATATAATTCTTTTGTAAGAGGAGTGGTTTGGCTGACATCAACAGCTATCGATCAATGTGGGTTGATGTACTTGTGCTCTATATGCGTTGTCTTTCTTTAGCTTGATGTTTTTCATGTTTGTGCTGTGCTTAGGTAAACCCCAGGCTTAATGGACAGTGCTGGCGTTTAAATGGATGTGTTTTCAGAGTTGAGCTTGGGAAGCAATTGGCTAAAGTTATACAACCAGAACTTGCTTCCGCAGGGACAGTCACCTCACACGACTGTTCTACAAATGGCCTCATCAATTTTATTAAGTCACTTTAGATAAGATTGCTCATAAAAAAGTACTATGATTGGCATTTATGTTCAGAATTGTTCTCAGCGTTTACTAGTTCATTAGCATCGCTACGCTTACTGGTAGTTGTCAGTTTTTAGTACCGTACACCGGTTTTTAATGTGAGCTAAGTTTTAGTGATTCTCTAATATTGTGCATGTTCGTATGGACGGCAAACAGCTAATGTACTTGCGTTGTTGTACCCAAAATGAGAAGTCCAATTCTCATGTTTCTCGGTGCACTGTAGTGTAGTTGTGATAGGTTTGATGTTCTAGTCGTCTGAATGTGTATGTTCCGGTGTACCTGAATAAAGTTGTACCTGAATGACTCGTAAAGTGATTGGGGCTGGTCATGAGTAAACGCTCTGTCTATATCTAAGAGCTCTATATTGAAAAATAAGTTTGAATGAATTGGTGGCATTCAAAAATGCTAACTATACTTCCAGAATGGCAGGTTATGCGCTCAAACGATTGATGACCGAGTATAAAGGTGAGAAATGCTTGACTTGAGTCGATTGAGCAGGTTGGAAACACATGTGTGCGTGTTCTTGAGGGATTGGAAACCTAACGATTCTGCGTTTCACTAAGCAAAATTTTGATGCATACTTATCGCACCTGGCTGCTGTCAAGGATGTAAATAGATGGAGTACAGAAGTGGAGAGAAGTTTCTCTGCGAATTTGCTTTCGCTAACTCTTTGTTCTTTTTGAGAAGCTAGTGAGCTTTCGAGTTAATTCAAAGCGTTGGGACAATTCAGAAGGGGTAAGTTCAAGAAAATATCTACGTTGATGGTATCGTATCAACAACATAAAGGAAAAAGGATAAAGCATTTGCCGTTGATCAATCCCTTTTTGGGATGCGGCACGCATTCTACTTCCATTTGTACATTCGTAGTGGCGTTTGAATGCGATGTGGCCTATACAATGACTTGCGGGGCCAGCCGATGTACAAGTCAGTGTTTTTATCCTCCCAGACAAGTCTGGTACCAATTAACCGACCCCGGAGGGATG